AAAACCATTGAATAGGTGAGTCATATGACATCTGAATTACATTTCAATAGAGCTATTATTGACCTTCCCCACAAGCTTTCTCAAACACATCTGAGGCTATGGGGTGAGGGGGTTTCTGTGCCACCACTGTTTCCTCGTGGGCATCAGAATTTCGAGAGCTACAACTTAATCCCCTCAAGGTTGTCTAAGAGGACAAAGGGCCACCCTGTAGCCAGTGCCAGGTTTCGTGCCTGGCAAAGAGAGCCTGGCTTGCACACCTTGAATGAGAGTGAACTCTCTCCACTTTGTTCCACTAGGACCATATGCCAAGAACTTTTCATACAGCACTGACACACCCTTCCCAAACCCTTCTCTCTGGTCTAGTCCTTTGGTCTAGGTTGAAGGCGTGAGTTAGCAAACCCACCTACTTCCCCCTGCTCATTCTTTTTTCCACTTCTCATATGGTCTTCTACCACTGCCCTCTGGTCAGCTCCAGAGAGCCCACATTCACCAAAGTGAAAGAAACTCAGTAATTAAGGCTTCTAAAAACCTGTGTGAAATCTCTAATTTATTCCAAGGCTGGACAAACCTTGGAGGAACAGAATCCAAACCACAGCTATGACTACATTCTTCCAACTCCAAACACCTGATCACTCGCCTTGCACACTCCAGAACCAAATGTTGCTAGCAGCCTCATGACAGTTCTCCACTCACATAGCAACCCCATGCGCAACAGACCCTGGCTGCTGTGAACCACTGGATTCTCATTAGCTGGTTGCCACGTCTTTCTTTTTTAGCCCGGAAACTCCATGGAAACCTGTTCAGCATCACGACAACACACAAGCTTCCACTAAGAGGATCACTCATTACGATCAGTCAGAACTGACTCATAGCTGACCTTCCGCTGCGTTTCCAAGGCTGTAAACTGCACAGGAAAAGACTGTCCACCTTAACTGTCCCATCTTTCTCTCTTGTAGCTGCTAAGAGATTTGTCTCTTTAGTAGTTCAAATCTTGATAGCAGTGACTTTGCTTTTGGGTCAGCAGGCAACTTCCTAATGACCATTCAACAAGATTAGTGTTGGAAATCAAACTGATGACAATCAAATTTGGTGTCCTGCAGAAAAGTCAAACACAGACCCACCAATGTCCCCAGATAAACATCAGAACTACCATGGAACTAGATAACAACTGTCCATTCAATTTTGACTCATAGAAACCTGTAGGACAGAGTAGCAAGGGTTATAAATATTTTTTTAGTTGAGCCAAGTTTACAAATCATATTGGGTATTCATTCACTCATTCATTTCTCATCATAAAGTTGGAACTAACTCATAACTGACCTTCACACTGAGTGTCCAAGACTGTAAATCACGTGGGGAAATAATGTCTATCTTTCTCCTGTGGAACTATTAGCAGTGCAACTCCCTACAGATTATGCCACCAGAGCTCTCTCAATCATTCATCTCATTTGCAAGGAATTGGATCCAGCAGGTTTTGTGAGGCTGTAAATCACCCAGGAAGAAACTGCCCATGTCCTCCCTTGGATCTCCTGGTGGATTCGAACCACTAGAGAGGCATTGCCTTTGGATTAACCACTTAATGCCCACAGACTGTATCACCAGGAGACCCTCAATCATTCATATTGTTGCTATTATGTACTGTTGAGTTAGACTAGCTATCAGCTGATCTTCCAGCACGTTTTCAGAACTAGAAATGTCTCCTGCAGAGCAGCTCCTGAATTTGAACCATATGCCTTTGAGTTGGCAGAGCAACTCCTTACCACTAAGGCACCAGAGTTCCCTGTTGTGTGTCATCAAGTCAGAATGGACCCATAGCTGACCCTCTAGCAGGTTTTTAGAGACAGTAAATCACAGGAGACTGCCCATCCTTCTCCTGCAGAGGAGCTGGTGGATATGAACCGCCTTCGGGACTAGGCCAACAGAGCTCCCTCGAAGGGTGTAAATCTTGGTGTAGACAACCACATCTTTTTTCTGCTGAGCAGCTGGTGGCTTCCAAATTCAGTAGCACTTATTTTAACTACTCACCAGAAAATAAGTAATAATAGTGATTGTTTACTGAGCACTCACTAAGCCCTAAGCACTGGTCCCCTGACACAGTGACTATCGCAAGGGGCTCAAGCATATCAGAGATCAAGAGGATGGTGCAGGATAGGGCAAGGTTCAGATGCATTGTTCATAGGGTCGCTGAGTCATAGGTGACTCAAGGGCACCTAACAAGGACAAGCACTAGCCCCAAGCACAAGCCCTAACTCAGGTCTTTATTTGCATTATTTCAGTAACTAGTAGGGAGGGGCACTATCATTGTTCCCATCTTACAGATAAGAAAATAGAGAGTAAAATACTGATTCAAGGATAGCCGGGTCTGTGCTGGGACCTTGAGCTGGTTCAAGTCTGGAGACTCTATGGAGTAGATTACCAGAAAACTTTGAGATCAACTAGCACTTCAGAAATGGAAAGAACTTCAGCCATCAGGAAGCACAGCCCCCTTGAGTTCCTCTGAAATCCAGAGAAAGTAAGAAGCTTGCCTGAGGTCTGACAGGTCTCCCAGCCCCAGGCCAGGGTTCTCCACACAAACATGCTCACATAAGTAGGATGGAATCATCTTGCCATCAGCCTCATGGGGCTGCTGGTTCGGGAACAAGTCCCTGCTTGCCAGCGGCTTTGAAATCCCAGGATGAAAGGTGTCGTGGCAGCAAAACAGCACTGTGGGCTGGAGCGCGCCTGACCTCTGCCAGGACTTGCCATCTGACATTCGCCTGCTCACCTGCTCAGGGCGGGCAGAGCTTCGGGCACCACCAGCCAAGCACTGATCTCAAACAGGCCTGGGAGCTCAGAGCACTGTGGGGAGGGATGTTCCAAATGCTGACGTTTCCACAGGGGCGGCCCCACTCTCCTGGGCAGCAAAACCTGGCCCCAGGTAGGGAGAGGTCTGGAATTTTAATTGTCTAGTATGAAAACGCTCCTGCTCCTTGGGTGGGGTAAAGGGGTGCACAAATCACTGAGGGTGGCAAGGACACACCCTCATTCCCCTCCAACAGGTATTTCTAAGCTGATCGCTTCCTTGGAGGTGGCTAGGAGGCTTCCTGGGTCTCTCTCACTTCCAACCTCCCACCCATTACCTTACTTCAAAGCCCCTTCAGGTGAGCCCAGACTAGGAATCTGAGGCATCTGAAGAGGGTTATTAATAGCACTGAAGTGTTGAGAAGAGAGAGGCCAGCACCCTGTTCTTCTCAGCCTGGCACAAAACAAATCCAACCCTCTTAGCAGAGGATACTTCACCTTTTGTGGCTCTAGTCTCCTCCCCACTAAAATGACCAGGGAAGAGGAGGGAAGCAGGGAGTCCTCAGCGCAGGAGGTAGGAAGAGGGGAAAGCCAGAGCTGGGTGTGGGGAAAGGAAAAAATCCCACCAAGGCAAGGCACACCCCACCCAGGCTGGGTGAGGGGCCCCAGCAGGAGGTCCTGAATGGATGGACTGTTACAGAGCCCCAGGACGCTGCCTCAGGGAGAGGACAGGAAAACTCCACCCACCCCTTCCTCCTCCTCCTGGGGCCCTACAAGGAGACTGTCCCAGACTTACTTGCCCCCACGGGTGGTCCTGGGCTAGAGAGGGCCTGATTCATGTCTACATGTCTCCCACCCCGTGACCAGCCCTAGGCCTAGCACAAAGAAGGAGCTCAGGCCCCTGGCCTAGGACCACAGTCAGTTGGCAAACTCCAGTACCTCCTTTGTGTCCTGCCAGGGTGGGGCCCTGGGGACATGAACCTGGTCACTGTTCTCAAGGTAAAAAAACATAGCTGCTGAAACTTTACAGAACTGTAAGACACTGAGATGATAATGGGAGGGCAGACAGGGAGCTTGGAGCCTGCTGGACAAAACAAGCAAAATAAACCAAGAGGAAATGTCTCCCTTCCTCTGGTCTGCCCCTGCCTGCTCCAGGACCCTGTGTATTTGGTGCCTTTTGCAGGCCAGGCCCAATGTGAACCAAGCTCCAAGATTCAGCTTGTCTTATTCTCTAATAACCAGTGAAGAAATTATAAACCCCATTTTAAAGAGAAGACAACCAAGGCACAGGATATAAGAGATTTATCCAAGATTCCACCACTGGGAACCAGATGTTGGATTCCACACAGGGCCATCTCACCCGGCCTGGAGAGGTTAAGCTACACAGACACAAGTTTCCCAAGCAGCCCGGGCTTCCCACCCTCTCGCCCTTTTCTCTTTGGTTGGCGTAGGAGGAAGCTAGGACCCTGCTGTAGCCCCCAGCCTCCCCGGGAGGCTCGGGAATAGCTGCTTCTCTGAGAAGTGGCCCCTGTGCAATGACAGACAGCGCAAGAGGCGGCTGGAGAAGGGGCTGAGGAGGCCTGGCAGTGGCCTTAAGAGGCCCGGCTCTGGCCTTTGCCAGCCCCCTAAACCCCATCCCGGCCATGGCCGCCAGCAGGGGTATCCTGCTGACATTGAGCCAAAGGGCAGTAGACACCCCTCTATTGATCGCTAGCACCACTCCCCAGGTCCAGACTCCAGCCCCGATGGGCTGGTTCCCAGAAAGCCACGTGTACTGACGCACAGTCCAGGGTGAGCCAGGGACCGGGATAGTTGAAGAAGAGGGTCAAGACGCGCAGGGGAGGAGGGCACATTAGAGGGCAGGGAACGATCTTGGAATGCTCTGGGAGCCGGTGGGAAGGGGTGTCAACGACCCTTCTCAGTGCTCAGTCAGGCGTAAAGTGCAGGGGAACTCAAGGCAAAAGAGTCTGAGGGGTCCAGAGCTTCCGATGGGGTTCTGAGAGGAGAGGGACGAATCGAATCCCCGCCAGATGGATAAAGGAAGTGGACGGGAAGGGACTCAAAGAGGGACAAATGAGGGGACAGTCCCCGGCTGCTCCCGCCCCACCCCAGGCCTGATTCTCGGGAGCCCCGGGCCCCAGCAGCCCGCGGAGTGGGGACAGACGGGGGCGTGGCCAAGGGCTCCCCAGGATCCCGGTCGCACCCAGCGCGGAACTCACCTGCGATGTGCTGGCGCCGGGCGTCATCCAGGTGTGTGGACAGCACGTCCCCCATGGCGAGGAAGCGCCGCAGTCGGTCTGGTCGCCGCCCGTGTAGTTGCCCGCGCTGATCAGGCAGACACCGCTGGCACCGTGCGCCCGCCCGCCCTGCCGATCGTGCCGCCTTTGCTGTGGCCTCCTCTCCGGCTCAGCTCAGCTCCGGTTCTGACCTCGTCTGTGCGTCAGTCTGTCTGTCGGTCCCACCAGCTCAGCCTTGCGTGCACCGCCCACCGCCCAGCAACCCCTCCGCGCCCCGCCCCGCCCCGCCCCCGCCCGGCCCCGCCCCCGCCTCGGGTGGGGCCTGGGGGCTGCAGACGCCGGGAGCGCCCGGGAGACGGAGACAAAGGAGAGGTCCCCGGAAAGATGCCGAGAGGGCACTGCAGGCGCAGGTCAAAACAAAGACTAAGCCGCTGGGGAGGTCATCTGGAAGGACAGGGTGCCCTGAGGGACTCTAGACAGGATGTCACCCCTGTCCTGGCTGAACAGAAGACAGTCATGCCGAGGGGGAACTGGCCGGGGACACCCAGACCGACCCAGAGTTCAGCTGGCTCCTCATTGCCCCCTCATTGCCCTGCTTCCTGCACCCTGGCCCCCAGCACTGATGCCCGCACTCGAGAAGTAAGCTGGCCTTGATGTAATCTGCACTAGAAGGTGTGCCTGCCGGCTTGCACAATAGCCTGAAAAAGGGAAAGGGGGAACAAGGAAGGCTTGATCCTGAAGCCATACACCTCCCTCAGCACCAAGGAGTAATTCCTTAGGCCTAGCGTATGGTCAGTCCAATTGGGAGGCGGCTTAGAGGACAGGGTATGTCTGGCATGCAAAAAGTGAAAGCACTCCATCTACAGTTTGCAAAACCCAGGGTCTGGATTTTAGTACCAAGTTTGGGGGACTGGACATGAGTGGGTTACCAATACCAGAGGAACTGCTTGCTGATGCTCAAATCTGTCCCGCATCCAAATAGAGGCCATCCAGTTTCTGCTTGCTTGCTTCTGGTGATTGGGTGCTCACCATTACTTTTTTTTTAAAATTAATTTCAATGAACATTTACAGAGATTTTTGGATTTCCATTCATTCATTGTTGCACTTTTCTCCCCTCCCACCCCACCCCCACCCCCAGTTTGCTCTACTCCTTGAAAAGCAAAAGAAAAACTCCTTCATTGGTACACAATCCCCCCACCTCCACCCCAAGTATACTCCACTCTGCAACCCTCATTCCGAACTCTTATGATAATCATAATGCCCTAAAATATATTTTAAACTGTTCTCTCCCTCATCAGCTTCAATGCAGTATACATAATTTATCCAGTTTTTCTCAGTCTTACCCCCACCCTGATGTCAGCCTCATTCTACAACAGTAGCACCACAAAGTATTTGTCCTTTTGTAACTGAGATACTTCACTCAGCATAATGTCCTCCAGAGTCACCCATTTTGAATAATATTGCATGAGTTCCTTGTTTTTCAATGCAGTATAGTATTCCATTGTGTAAATATACCACAGCTTCTCTATCCATTCCTTTGTTGATGGACACTTAGGTTGTTTCCAGCTCCTTGTTATTGTAAACAAAGCCACGATAAACATGGGTGTGCATATATCTGCTTGGATGTGGGTTATGGTCTTAAAGTATCCCATCAGGTCACTGGATACCTCTTATTGCAGCAGTTAAGAGTCTGGGGTAGGGGGTTTGGAATGTGGGGAAAGTATAGTAAAAGTCAACACTACTGAGCACCTAATTCAGTCTGTCAATATTGCAGGAGGTGATTCATGTACTTCAGGATCCCGTTCATGTGTTCAGTCACTCATGAGTCATGCGATCCTCTGCCAGAAGCTTAAAAAACCCAAAACTCATTGCCATCATGTCAGAACCAACTCAAAGCTGACCCTCTGGGGAGCTCTGGTGGCCTAGTGGCAAGAAACTGCACTGCAATCCCAGAGGTACATGGTTTGAATCCACCGGATGCTCTGCTGGGGAAGGAGGGACAACCAGTCAGATCCAATTTGATGGTACACACACATAAAATAATAAAATTTAAAAAATAAGAAAATAATAAAACTGGGCCTCCAATGGGTTTTTGAGAGGCAACAACAAAAAATCACAGAAGAGATTGCCCATCTTGATCCCAAAGAGTCACTGGTGGATTCAAATAACCAGAGAAATGTGACCTTTAGGTTAGTAGCACAATTCTTTACAGATTGTGCCACCAGAGCTCCCCCTGCAAGGTAATGTTGTTGTGTGCCATCAGGTAACAACTGACTCTTAGCTGACCCTGAAGTGGGCTTTCAAAAGCTGTAAATCACACAGGAAGATACTGCCCATTTTTCTCCTTGCAGAGCAGCTGATGGATTAAAATCACTTGCTGTGTTGGTGGTATGGTTCCTTAACCACTAGACCACCAGAGTTCCCTCACATTATACTAGGAGGTGAAAAAGACGAAGAAGTCGGAGTTGCTCTACTATATGACACTGAGCAAGTGGCTTACCTCTTTGGTGGTTTTTTTGTTTGTTTGTTTGTTTGTTTAATTTAAAATTTTTTAATTGTGATTTTAATGAAAATTCACAGAAACGTTGGATTTTCATTCATTCTTTTTTTGCACATTTTCCTCCCTACCCTACCCCCAGTTCACTTTATTTTTTTAAATGTATTCATTGTTCACAATTGCTTGCTATGCGTCAGAAGACTAGATAATGACTAGGGATGATAGAAAGAGAATTGATGCCTTTGAGCTGTGGTGCTGGAGAAGAGTATTGAATATACCATGGACTGCCAAGAGAACAAACAGGTTTGTCCTGAAGAGGGTGAAACCAGGCTGCTCCTTGGAGACAAGGATTCTGAGGCTTTGTCTGACATACTTTGGACATGTTGCAAGGAGGGACCAAAGGACTGCATGGTTGGAAGAATGGAAGGATGGTGAAAGAGAGGAAGACCCTCTATGAGATGGATTGATTCAGTGACTGGGGTAATGAGAGTAAGCGTGTCAGAGACAATAAGAATAATGATCCTAGGGAGCTCTGGTGGCCTAGTGGCAAGAAGCTGCACTGTAATCCCAGAGGCACATGGTTCAAATCCACCAGATCCTCTGCTGGAGAAGGGGGGGCAACCTCCTCCTGTACCAGTCAGACCAGATTTGATGGTACACACACAAAATATAATAAAACAAAATATTTATTAAAAAAATAATGATCCTTTGTGCGTGTTTTTTTTTTCATTTATTTTATACTGGTTTATTTACAGAGTTCATATGCATTGCTTCTCATACCAGATCTGTCCCATTTCCTTCACCCCTGTCTCCCTCCACCTATCAAATTGCGTGACCCTATGATTAATGCTAACCCCCCATCCTCAGCCCTCTGCCCCCCTCCCTTTGGATCCTCATATTCATTCTACAATTACAGCCTTATGAAATATTTGTCCATATGGGACTGAATTCGTTCACTTAGTAGTGCTCTCCAGTTCCTCCCAAGCTAGATAGCAATTTACAAAATCCTTGCACCTGTGTACTGCATAGTATTCCATCATGTGAATGTACCATAATTTCTCAACCCATTCGATTGTGGTTGGACATTGGGGCTATTTCCATGTTCTTGGGATGATGAATAACGCTGCCACGAACATTTGTGTACAACTCTCTGTTTGTGCCTCAGTTCTCATTTTCTCAAGGTATATTCCAATCAATTAGCCCTTTGTTTTGAGGACTAAATGAGATAATAAAGTGCATAGCACAGTGCCTGTTGCACCATCAATTGTTGCTCAAAATACAGAACATGTCATTATAATATTCATCACAGCTCCCACCCTCAAGAGCACATAAAGACTAAGGAAGGAGCAGAACATTCTGTTTGAGGAAAATCACAGAGGAACCAGAGCCAGACAAGAAGTTGAAACATAAGAATTTTGACAGGTGATACTGGGGAGCAGCATTCCGGGCAGTGGGGACAGCACAGGTGAAGGCATGGCCTTTGAACAGAGTCATCAGGTGGAGTTGAAGTCAAGCTGACAGAAAGGAGTTTCCTGTTACAGTAGCAAAAACTGAGGCCCAAGAAGGGAGGGTGACTTGCTAACTCACACAGCAAAACAAAGGTAGAACCCAACCAGCAGTCAAGTTTCTTGCCTGATACCCACTGTCTGAACCTCTTTGAGCAAAAAAGGCAAATAATGCTAGTAATCTCATTTCATTTTTCCCATGGCCTTAACTGTCAGAAATTTGTAAGGACTGGAAGGGCCTGACCAAGGAGGGGATAGAGAATTGTTTATTGGTCTGGGTAGAGCTGGCTGGCATCTAAACACCCAGGATGGCCCTTCAGCCTAGTTGGGGCCACATGTAGACTTTCTCTAGTCTTCCTCAAACACCCAGATCCACAGATACCCATAAACCTCCCAGTGAACCAGGTTTGTAAGCCAAGATGTACAACCTAGGCCTGAGGGACTACGGAAAGTGGCCAGGGTAGGAACGGGGCTTGGCTGTGCTCTTGACTCTACCCCACATCACTTAACCCTCTGAGCTTCTGTGGTTTCATATGCTAGACAAAAATAAGAATGTAAAAAAAAAAAGAGAGAGAGAAAAGGTATTGTAAACTGTAAGGTGCTGTGCAGTTATGTGAATGGCTCCTCCCACACCTGGGAGCCTCCAATTCAAGATTCAAAATTTGTCTAGGGAGTTGACTGAAAAACAATCGGAGGTTACTCAGTGTCACTGAAATATCCATGTGGAAATTGCTAGAACTACATATTTTCATATATATATATATACACACACACACACATACACACAGAGAGAGAGTTGTGTACCTGAGAATCAGAACTGACCCCTAGCTGACCCTCTGATGGGTTTTTAGAGACAGTTAATTAATTGCACAAGAGATTGTCCATTCTTCTCCCACGGAGCACCTAGTGGCCTTGAACTGCCTTGGAACAGCTTTCTCTCTCTCTCTCTCTCTCTCTCTCTCTCTGTGTGTGTGTGTGTGTGTGTGTGTGTGTGTCTAAAAGAATAAATAAAATTAATTGGGATTTTTAAAAATC